GCTTGTTTCACAATGTCGCCATTAATCACCCTTGGCAAAATATTAATCCGCCTTGGCGAACTATACCCGGGCGAAATAGTGGGTCATACTTTTTATTAGTCATGTTCTAAACACGCTTTGTGGAGGAGCTTGTGGGGGTGTAAATTATGCTACATACCATTTGACCATTATAGCCCTGTAGGAATACAAGTTGTCGTCTGATTTTCCGGATGTCGTCATCCGGTGATTATCTCTTACTGTCAACAATCTTTCAAATGGCTTGTGAAATATATAGCCAAAGGCCCTACCGCTATGGGAGAAAGTTGTGAACCATTAATTCTATCATGCCACACAAGTTCAGACAGTTGTCATCGTCAATGATGAAAATAGGCTTCATGGTCCCTGGCACTGCAAGTCGTGGAAGTTTCATTAAATTGCTCACTCTTTTTTGAAGGTTTCAACGATTTGCTTACTCTTTTTGCAATGTTGGCCCCATTATGGTGGGTTGCTCGTCCTAAAGAACGTTCGCCGGTATCTTTTCATGCACACTGCGGAAATTGTTAGAGACTGGCACAGCTTGCGGAACGCACCCAAGGTCGACCAACGCTATCCAGATTTTGAGGTTTTTCTAAAATGGCTTCTGTGCTTTAAATCCTAACGCATCAGGCATCGATACTCTTGAGAACCAAACCTGCAAATGAAAATTTCCTGGTAATTATTGATTTGTTAAAAAGGATCTTTATCTTCGAGTCAGGGAGCTGGTCCTGTAAGAAACACCTCGCCCTTTCGAGCTTCCTAGTTCTTGGTGACTGATGCTAAACTGTGCTATTAAAGCAAGCCGCCGTACGCCAATCTCGAAAAGTATGACCCAGAATGGCAAGCTGTTTAATATTTACGTTTTATAAAAATGCAACTACGTCAGCGTTTGTTCATGTGTGAAATAGTTATTCTAATGGGCAGAGTTCACTTTGCCAAAAAAGAGGTCTTTAATGAACACAGTTGTGTGGGCGGTGCACGTGCACGGTAAAAACAACTTAACATGCAGCAGACACTACAGGACTAAACAACTTCCCTGGACAACATTAACAGTAGTTTCACGGACGATATGTCTTTGGATGGCACATGGTACATTCATACATGGGGCCCCACATACAATTTACCTAAAAGCCCCCAAACGTTTGGTGAAGTGCCGTCTATGCCGGTTGGGTAATCTGGCTCTTCTTTTCAAGCTGGTCTATGTAAGTTAAGCCATTACACTTTACTTAAATTACTTTGCACCCCTATTTTCCACTCGTAATTAGGCCCTAAGAGCTATGACTATGAAAAGAAGTCCTCAATGTTTGTAGCAGCCAAGAGAATGCATTGCACATGCAACTTGTTACTGCAGGTACACAAGCTGTCGAGGAGACATAGGCCTACGGCTGTACTCGAATTTGAGCCATGATTTCAGACCAGCTGCAACGTACCGGTACCGGGGTATCGGCGGGGAGCTGGCCGCAAAAAAGACTGGTTTATCGAATGCCAGTGTTCAAATGAGGTTTTGCATTTCACAGACGTTTCCCTCTATAGGCCTTAAGAATTAAGATGTATTACATATATTTGGATGTGGTGCTAAATCGCGATTGGCCTACTAATATAAGGAAGGAAGGATGTGCATTGTTTGTTGCCATTTACCTATCAAAGCTAACGGTAGTCAGAGAGTGATGTTTCACAATGCGGAAACGGACTATAAGTGTTAAACTGGTACACGCTGACACCCTATCCAGGCATGTGAGATTGGACCGGTGCCAAATTCATCTATAAGTTAGTGCGCATATGTTCCGACCTTGTTCTATTGTTGACTTACAAGTTCATTTCGAAAGCCACATCGTCACAGTGCAAGCGGAAGATTGAGCCAGCTTTGGGAAGATGTCACATGTCAGCTCCTCCGCGCGGGGGACGGTGCATAAATAAAAAAGCAGACATCCATTTTTTTCAATCCAATGCGTCCTGTTATAGGTTAACAGTTCAGTTCAGTTCAGTGTTCCTTCGGTCCCTGGAAGCCACTTGTGAAGGAGATGTAAGCTCGGTGTGTCTTTAGGTATCCAGCCTGTAATTATCTCTTGAGTTTGGTATTACCAGTGACTTCCAATAAAGCTGCTACATTGCCAGCAGAAGAAAGGATGGGCGGTCCTTGCGGATCCACATTCGTGGCGGGTCTTCTGTGCATTTGGTATCTTCTCGTAGTCAACTGTACCCATAGCAACGCGCAGGTAACAGGTAAGGTTGATGTGGGGTTGGTTACGGAGGCATTGCTTTATTAATATTAGAGAAAAACTGCAAAAGCTACGGCGGAAATTCAGTAACCAGATACTATCTAGGACACCAGTTCAGTATGCCAAGAGTGCGAATCTAGCTCCTCAATATAAATAGCCTTTGCAGTGTACGCGGAGTGGAACTTATCAATCTGAAAGAGCTTTCCTCCAAGGCCCTTAAATGGAATGGTTTTTGCTCTTTCACAGGGAGTCTGATATAGTTTACCTCACATAATGGTCCCCACATTTTTGTACGGGATCAGGGTAATATGGTGTTCTATTAAGGCCACATTACGCAGCTCAGTAGAGTTGTTTCAAGCAGCGTGTTGTTTGGAGATGAACGTCTCTTCTGGTGTCCCCAATGAACTGGTGTTTTCGCAGTTTTTATGAATGATCACGAGAGGTCACCACGTTCATTTTTATGATAGCCTGAGAGTTGACCTCTGAAAGTTGACTGCTTCTGTACCCATTGGATAGGAAAAAAGTGCAGAAATTCTAGATTTTGTTATGTTATATTTTATTTTACTTCTTTAGCTGAGAATAAGCTGAAATAAAACGTTAAGATAAAAAGCGCATTTAATATTATATAAACTTAAGGGGGTGCCATTTCTTAATATTTCTCCTTAACTTAAGGGTGCTTTTATCCGTTATGGACGCGGTTTAGTACTGTGCAACCTTAACAATTACACTAAGGCGCTACTATAGAAGACGAAAAGTGGCCACCTGCTTGTCGCAATCGAAATAGTTGAAAAGCAAATTTTACGTCTTTGTAACATGCAATTCTCCACTTTTCTGCTGCCTCAATGAACTTTCGTTGTAATGCATTTTTCTACTTTTCGGCTTTTCTGCTAAAAGAAAAGCAGATTTTATTTTTCCTCTGTTCCATGGCGGCTGAAAAGTGGCCGTCTACTTGTTTGCCTTTCAAAAAAGAGGAAAGTGGATGAGCGTTCCGACAGCTGTTCGCTCTACTTTTCTGCTTGCGGGAAACCGGATAAGCAGACTTTACTGAGAAGGCCATAAACTGGCCACCTCCTCCACCCCAGGGCCGTGAAACGGTTTTTCTGGTTTCCCGAGAGCAGCAAAGTAGATCTAGCAGTTGTCAAAACGTTCGATCCACTTTTCTGCTTCTTTGACAGGAAAAGTAGCAGAAAAGCAGAAAAATGGGGAAAATATTCATTAAAAAATGTTTATTCTGCTTTTCAGGTAGTTCAAAAGTCGAAAATTGCATTTTACAAAGACGTAAAATCTGCTTCTCTACTAACCTGAAAGCAGAAAAGCAGATGGCCACCTTTCGTCTTCCATAAGCGACGTTCATTTTCGGCTGGTAATTGGAATGCTCACTTCCAGCGCTGAAAAAACCTCTCGTCGTGCTGTACAACAAGTCTCATCGTACTGCCAAACAACTCTCACCGCGCCATGAAACGACTGTCGCCGTGCTGTATAACGTGGCCTTAATTGAGCACCATCATAGGGTTAGCCCTACTGGGAAAGCTTCATAGAGGCTACAGCTCTTCCTCGCAAACATCTTTGTGCGCTCAGTGCGGAAATCGTTATTTTGACACGGCTTCCGCCAGCAAACACACCCAATATCAAGCCAGTATTCCCCCGCACTATTTACATCATAGTTTCCCTAATAGAATGAATAATCTATCGTTAGTCTTACTGTAAGGAAGTTTCACCCATGACTTTACTTTTGAAGTATACGTTCATTGAATTCTGCATGCGTTCACATCTTATCAGTTCTCATCCGCTCAAAGTTCCTATTGCCTAAACTTCCCAGTGCATTGTTTATATAAATGGCTCACGTAGGGTCATTGCATCAGAGAATGCTACTATTCATAGTGTAACGTTAAAAGCAAGCAAAACCCAAACAAAACCCTGCGTATACAAAACTCTAATTTTCAAACCATTTTGTTCCCTTGTCCCTCTAATTTGTTTTTCAATTCGTTCATTTTCATGGCTCTCAGTTTCGTTTACTGTCACTAAAATTTAGTAAGAGATCCAAATTACAAGCTACGTCATTTACAACTTAACAAGTACAGAAACGGCCAAGAATCTGCCAAAAATAATTGCCTGTTGACAAATTCACTGACTAAATTCTGTGCGTTGCAGGCTTGTAAAACTTCAAATTATGTTCAAAGTGGACCGTCGAAATAATATGTTCTGATAGCTTATTAAAATAAAATACTCTTCTTGTTTTACCTGAATGATGCAGTTAATTCAAATGCGCGCTAAAAGAATTGACTCTGATACAAAATGCAACGGTAATCTGTGTTATCTGAGCAAGAAAACGTAGGTTAGTTCGTTCTGGAAGACAATATACGGTTTGTCGAGATATTTGTTTTCCGACGGGTGTCGTGTGACCTAGTGTGAGAGTGTGTAGAGAGGCTACCAAGTTGTGAACGATAACCTTAACCACTTTTCTGTTCAAGACTTGTATCCAGGCGCACAATCAAAATCTTTGAAAGGCTTCCACGGACCGGCTGGGGCACGACCTGTAAGTCCAAAACTTTTTGAAGCCAAGGCGAAACTGACTGTTTAATGGAGGTTCAAACCTCTTGAAGTCCCTGTGAACATTTTCTTCAGTTTCCCTGCCCCATGCATATATGGGCGTGAACAATGCAGGGCCACGCCTTACTTTGTTTGAAATGTAAATGATAAGAATTCAAATTAGACTCAGTACGGTAAATAACACGCAGTTGGGAAAATCCTATTGAACGAAGTATCACTTTGCTTTTCGTGACAGTGTCCCACTGATCTTGGTCAGATCCCATAGCTTCATTTTCGGATACTGAGAGAAAGTTTAAATACCAGTGACGTGGGTCACAGGGGGGTGATAATGCTTCGTATCCAAGGGCAAATTCTATATATTTTTGGCTTCGGAGAAGAATCGATCGATAGAGAAAAGAATTAAAAATCTTCTTAAATCATTAAGCGGTGAACGCATTTTGGGTGTAATAAATACAAAGTACCCAATGACGATTGATTAACTCTCATTTTTGGGGTGGATATAGGGAAGAAGGGAAAATCTTTTGATCTGTTTCATTTCCTTGCCTTCAAAATGCGTGTGTAAAAAGTCCCATGAACGTTCCAGGATTTGTTTTTGAAATGAGTAAAAAGAAGCGACCAATTTTTCGCTGTGTTGGTGAAGCCTTTTGGTTACAAGAGTGAACAAAGTTTGTATAAATGTACTCTGCAGTCTGCACAGTGATCAATTAAACGCTTGTCATTCAGAGGTGCACCATTAAGATTGGTGACTTTGAGCCCTGCCACCACAACCATCTATACAAATAGGCCTAGATTGGGGCTTTTGGCTTTTCATTGGACGAAGATCGATCACGTGATATGGACTAGCATGCATGTACCAGGTCGTGAGAACTGGTCCATTAGTGATGTTTCCCACTTGTTACCTTGATCTTGACGTTTTCCCCTTGCACTCTACCGTGGTACCGTATGACAAAACAATTGTTACCTGTTGTGATGGGGTCCGCGCGAGTGCATCTTTTTGTATGTCCTTGGGGGCAAAAAGCTTCCTTGGGTTCGCTTTGGGTGCCCCTTGGATGTATACAACTTTTCCTATTGAAGGACCAAAGTTGGTAAAATTGAATCAACTTTGATGCCAATATTGATTATTATATCAACTGCCTTAAATCAATTTTCGTCGCTGACACTCGATGACACTTGAGAGTACTCTTGACTCTGCGGGGAACTTATTTTAGCATGAGAAAATATTCACCGTGTTTCACTTAAAAACTTGATCAGTTTTTACTATTTTGTATCATTTTCTACATTAAAAACTTCCACTCTTACCTGGTAACCAGTAGACGCTTAAATGATGTGCTTTGATTTGCCACATTTATGAATGGCCAGTAACAGTATAGTTGGAATACATGTCATAATTTGACTTGGAATGCCAATGCTCTTGTAATAAGTTTTATCGTAACGGTTTGCACACACCACTGTATCTGAGTAGAGCAGTAGTGCAGTAGGTAAGTGCCCCTCTTTTGTTACTTTGCAGCCCAGTTTTTAAGTAGAGATAGAGCCTGAGTTAAATAGCTCAGCCATAATCTGTTTCATTTTGTCTATTCTTTAGCCTCTTTGAATGTTCTGTTTCCTTCTTGAAGGGTTCAATCAAAGCAGGGCTTGTATTTTTATTATTTTGTTTAGTTTTAATTGTGTGTTTCTTTCCGGAAACCGATTTGTTATCAGCAGTTCTGGTGTTGAACCACTCGTAGATCAAAGTTAGGTCTTCTATTATTGCTCTTAGATTGAATCTCTAAAGCGCTGTTTTGGGAGGTGTTTTGTGCTTAAAGTATAGTCCTCAGAACATGGGCTTGTAAATTTCGTGAGGTTTTGAGATGCTGAAAGTGGAAGGAAATTTAGGAGCTAAAAGTTCTTTTTGTGACTTTTGACTCAAAGTACCTGAAAATGTATGGATAGGTTGAAGTTTTTCATGTCATTTCTAATTTTTCTTTTTTAGTCATTGATCAAGCAGATGTAGAAAGTTTTGTATTCTTTTACCACGTGGCTGTATCTTAGGCAAGGCAGTTTTCTTTGTTCAACATTCCTATGCCTATAACACGTGGTTGGTTTATTATTAAGGATAAATGTGTCCTGCCTGAAGTAGTGGTCAAGACCTTCTTTCTTTATTGCATCAGGATTATTCATGAGTTCAGACTATATACATGTCCCAATGCTTGATACAAGGCAGGCTTTTTGCAACATGTGCACTCCCTTTCGGCTGACACTTTAATACTGAACCAATACCTTAAGCATGCCTTGTCATACAGCGACATGCTCCTTAAACATGCAAACGTCACTTTACAGAGGAGTGTAGGTTTTCTTAAAGTTCTTCAGAGAGATTGACAAAGTGAGATTGAAAAAAACAAAAACAAAACACGATTCTACACGATTGGGGAAAATATGCACTAAGTGTCTGGGGGTATTCGCTTCACCTCAGGGGCG